CTCCTCCTCCTCCTCCTCCTCCTCTTTCTCTTCTTCTTCTCCTTCTCCTCCTTTTTCTTCTTGTTCCTCTTCCTCCTCCTGCTCCTCTTTCTCTTGTTCCTCCTCCTCCTTCTCTTCCCCCTCCTGCTTCTCTTCATTTTATAATCCCCTGAGTCCAGTTCATGTTGCTAATATGCACATGGGCCTCTGGCCCCCAACTAGAGCATGGGCAATGTACCACTCACCACACCCCCAAAGAAAACTTACTCTTACTGGAACACTCATGAGCTGTCATGTTAATAGCTCTTCCAATAGGGTGAGGCCATTGGAGTCCCTCTCATCCATGGAGGAGCTGTTACTGGTTGATCCTATCAGATCTTGCTCAGATAACCATAGCTGCCGTAACCTTATGGTTTGAAAGACATTGACATTCCACAGCACTCCTCCATCTCTTGTATTCTTTTGGACACTCCTCTGTGATGTTCCCTGGCCTTTGTGAGGAGATGATATGGATGATTCCTTTAGGGGTGAGCATTAACAGTCACTTATTCTTAGCACTTTGGACAGTTATGGTTATTTGCATTAACTGCTGTTCACTGCACAAAAGAAGCTTCTCTGACCAAAGGCACTTTGACTACATAACCATTTATCAAAATAGCAACAGGAAGTTCCATTTATAAGTCCTATGACTTCTCTAGCCATGGACTTTGGCCAGGATTAGAGATATCAGTTATAAAGTCTGTCCTGTGGAACAGATAGGCCTCAAATCCTATCAAAAGTGGTTGGTCACCCTTATGACAGTCATGCCATTATTAAACCAGTGAGCACATCTCACTTGTATGGTCAGAATTGCATCATGCAGAATCTAGTGCTGGATAAAAATACTGATATCTCCCCCTCCCTCGCACCTCCTCATACAGCTTGCATGACACCTTTCAGATCCGTGAAAGTTAACCAGCAGGAAGAAAGTTTCCCAGTTATTTTGAGATTGTTTTCTTGATGTTCTGCAATCGAAGCATGTGGTATTTCCAGCAGCAGGGGCTCACCATCTAGTTCTGTTGGACAATCAGGAGCAATGGCAGTGATTTATGTTTTGGAGATGCCCCCGGGGCCTACCTGATATTTCATAGGAAGATATCTCATGTTGCCTAGTGCTGAGGTTTTCATTTAATAACCCTTATCTTCTGCAAGTAGCATTGTCTACTTGTGCAGGGTACCTCTGTTAAAACTCTTTTAAGATTATGCTTTTAATGATCTTCATAGTAGTGGGCTTTCCTAAAGAGTGTTCATACATCTAAGTAGTAGCTATCTCACCTCTACTGCCTTCTCTCCTTCATCTCCCCCTAAAACCTTTAGCCCTAGCACTCCCCGCTTTCTTTCATATCATGGTGTTCTACTATCCCTTCCAATTACAGTTTTGAACTGAGTTATAAGACAGTAGGCTTCCATATGGATTTCCCACATACCTTTTATTTTGATTAACTTTCTCCTATGCCTTAGTTTCCCCATCCTCATGCCTCTTTGATTAATCCTTCTCACCTCCAGTATGCTCCTGTTCTAATTTCATTTTTTTACCTATATTCTAGTAATCATACTATTTTAATTTGAGTTTTTATTGTTTTGACATCTTGGGGATTTGCTTGTCCTGGAGGGGTGAGCCCTCCCAGGACCAGCTGATATGTACAGATGACAAATAACTGTGGACATCTCTTTTCAGTGCAAACCAGCTAGATTAGAAGTCTCTGTCCCTCACGTAGAGTTTCCATTCCATAGGCAGCACTGTGTTCCTGCTTGAATCTCTCCAGGGCCAGGCATCACAACACCAGGGAGAGCGTCTGTATTCAAGAGCACACTGAAATACCTCCTATTAACTAATCCCAAGTTTGCTTCCCTGTCTCACCTGCCTCAGTGGATGTCACATAAAATTGATCTGTCCCCAGTGCCTGCTCTCAAATCCACTCCTGTTTGATCCTGTGGGACCCTGAACAGGGTGCTTCAAGACCACTGAAAAACTCTCTCCCTCCTGGAAGCCATATCTCTGTCACAGGCCTTCTCACACCTGATTAAAACAAGTTGTGTTACTCATTAAGAGGAAAGACTTCATGGCGAGGGTTAGAATTCAGAAAGCATAGGACCCGAGGGGAGGAGATGTGTAACAAGAAAGGACACTGCAGAGATTAGTCAGCCTTTCATCCTGGGGGACATGCCAATGGTAACAGGAGAGCCAGAGGCTCCCCAAACAGAAGCTTGCATGATTACTGCTGGCTTTGCACTGGGGACTGCTGTGTGTTCCCCACGCTTTCCCCTAGGGGGCAGCAGAAGCCCCTGGTGCATAACTTGTGGGTAGTAGGGAGCTAATGAGCCAGAATCTCTATCCATAAGGACGTTTTCTGGAAGATTATTCAAAAAGAAGGCAGAGGCTGTCAGCAAAACAGTCCAGTCCCCAGGGGAGAATGACAGGAAGCCAGTCTGAATCCCAAGTGTAGCCCTGTTGAGCTTATCAGCTGAAAGACTCCTGGATAAAGTGTTCACTGGGCCCCCTCAGGGCTCCCAGGTGACCTGCTGTCCCAGGGCTATGAGTCACCCTAGCATTGATGAAAGTTCTGCTCTCAGACATCTTTCATCAATTCCTTTTTATCTTTGCTCTAACTGAGGGAGGATAAGCTTCCATTTTGCAGTCTCTCCTCATGCAGCTTGTAGCATCTATTGATTTTTTTTTTCAAGTTGATACAGGCACAGAAAGAGAGTGGCCTTCACAGGTAAAGTCCTCAACGTGAGAAGAGGAGTATAGATGCCTGAAACCTCCTCTTTTAAAAGGTTAGATCCTGCAGGACATAGGACACAAGTGTTCAAATACCCTGGTTTAGTTCTCCTCCTTATTTTGTATCATTCTTAAAACAAACCCCTCTTCCTGATGATCAGAATACATGGTAGCACAAAGTTGCATTCAACACTTGCTTCCTTGCAGGCTTTTAGCAGAGGGAAGGCACAGACTGGACAGCAATGCAACTCAAACCAGAGCATCTCAGAGCAACTGGCACTCAGGAATCCATGACTCACAAAATAGTTTCTCATTTGTTATATAATTCAGCCTACACAAGATCAATGTTTCATGGTTTAGGAATTTGAGTCTGTGAAGTACAGCCATTTATTCACCCAGTAAATATCCCTCCCCCAGCATCCTTTACAGACCTAGAACTGTCTATGACCCCCAGAACTCTCTGGGGATTCCATGTGACCGAAAGAAAGGCTTTCCTACCACTGAGCCATGCTAAGGAGTTCTAAAAATGATCCTGAACCTGGGTTTCCTGATGTTACTACAGTGAGAGGAGTTCTGATGACTGTTCAGGGGAAAGCTGTATGATCATGAATGAATGTCTAAGCTTCTTCAAGACACAGAGAAAAATATTGTATCTATCTCAAATGGCTACTGAGAACTGTAGATGCTACAAGGTTTAATGTCTGATCCATAGTCAGGGCTCCATAAAAGATATTTATTACTTTTTGAGTAGCTATGAAGTGTTGGAATTAGGAGCAATTACTTCTTACTGGGGAAGTCAGCAGAGATAAGTCCACAGAAGACATGGCCTGGACATTGGAAAGGAATTCTCAGTTCTTGGAAAAGTATCTCTCCCTTGCTTAGAAAGTGCTTAGTTGAGTGACATCTAATAAGTCTTTTACATTATATTGTTCATTTTCTACAAGACTGTATGAGAAAGCTGTGAGTTCAAAATCAACATGTAGGTTATAGCAAGAGCCAGAGAAGAGAAGAGACACTGTGTTAAATGATACAGAAAGCACAGTAGATATGAAATTGAGTTCAGTTTTTTTTTAAAATAAACTTTTTTCTTTGGTAACAAATAGAGTAAACGAGAGTTTGAATTCTGACTCCACCTGGGACTAGTTTTGTACCTTGAATAAATTTATAGTAAGTCCTGTGGTCTTGGTTCCTTCTCTTAGAATTGTTAATATCATCTTTAGTATTATGGGGATAATTGGCTAACAAAGGAGAGTTGAAATATAAAATTAGAGCCTGAAGAGGTGTCTCAGTGGTTAAAATCACTGGTTGCTCTTCCAGAGGACCTAGGTTTGATTCCCAGCACCCACATAGCAGTTAATAATTATCCATAACTTCAATTCCAGGTTATCTGACACTTTTCATAGCCACTGTACACACATGTTGGAAAACTCCCATACACAGGAAATATAAGAAAAACATAAAAATAATGCATCAGACACTTTTCTTTCTTAACACTCAATGATTTATTCTATTTTGTTCTCCTATGACGA